AGGAAAAGCAAGGGCAACATTGGACCCCTGCTAAACCAGATGGGACAGCTGACTACCGACACCCAGGAAAAAGCCAACTTGCTAAATGGGTATTTTGCGTTGGTCTTTCAACAGTCCCATGGGATGCCCCTGCCCATTACGGGACAGGAAGGCCTGGGTGAGGGAGATTCCTTACCCTCCATCAATGCTGACCTTGTGAAGAAACACTTTGAGAGGCTGGATACCTTCAAGTCAGCCGGCCTTGACAGCTTACAGCCCAGAGTACTTAAGGAGCTGGCAAGCATCATAGCTCAGCCCCTGGCACGGATCTTCAAGAACTCTTAGTGCTCTGGTGAAGTGCCCAATGATTGGAAGAAGGCCAATGTGGTGCCTATCTTCAAGAAAGGGAGGAAAGTGGATCTGGCAAACTACAAGTCCATCAGCCTGACCTCTATCCCAGGGAAGATCCTAGAAAAGATTATCAAAGAGACCATTCTCAACAGACTAGCTAATGGCAAAATCCTGAGCGATAGCCAGCACGGATTTCTCATGGGTAGGTCTTGCTTGACCAATCTTATTTCCTTTTATGACCAGGTGATCTATCACCTGGACAAGGGGGAAGAGATTGATGTCATATATCTTGACTTTAAAAAAGCCGTCGATCTGGTATCCCATGATCACCTTTTAGCGAAACTGGCCAGCTGCGGCCTTGGCTTCACCACAGTCAACTGACTGGGGAATTGGCTCTGTGGCTGGACCGAGAGGGTGGTGGTTGATGGAAGTTAATTGTCATGGTGTGCTGTGACCAGTGGGGTCCCTCAAGGCTCTGTCATATATTATTCAACATAGATTTCATAGACATTTGGGCTAGAAGGGACCTCGGAGGATCATCGAGTTCAGCCCCCTGTCCCAGGGGCAGGAAGTCAGCAGGGATCATAGGATCCCAGCAAGATAAGCATTCAAATGTGTCTTGAAGGCGTTCAAAATGGGTGCTTGAACCCCCTCCGGTGTCAGTCTATTCCAAACCTTGGGGGCTCGGACAGTAAAGAAGTTCTTCCTTATGTCCAGCCTGAAACAGTTGCAGAGGAGTTTGTGACCGTTCAATCTTGTCCAGGCAGATCTCTTGACTTAATGGGGATATCATGCTCCTCTTGAAAAAGAAGGAAGAGGCATACAAACAATGGAAGCCTGGGACAGTCCCCAGGGAGGACTGTACAACAGCAGCTTGCACTTGTAGGGAGCAGATTAGAAAGGTTAAGGTGGTGATTGAATTTAAACTTGCAACAGAAATCATGAACAATAAGAAGTCCTTCTTTAGGTATGAAGGGAACAGAAGGAAAACAAATGGAGTGTGGAGCTATTGCTTAACTCAAGAGAGCTGGTTACCAACACTCAGGAGAAAACTGAACTCCTAAATGACTACTTTATTTCAGTATTTCACTGGACTAGGGGGAAAATCATACTAGATAAGGTTCAGAATAGGCCTGGTGGGAATGATCGCCTTCCTACTGTTGATGTTGAGCTGGTGCATGATCAGTTAGAAAAGTTAGACATTAATAAGTTAGCAGAACCAGATGAACTTCATCCAAGAGTGCTGAAGGAGTTGGCCAAAGTAATCATGGGACCTCTGGTGAAACTCTTCCAAAACTCATGGCACTCAGGGGAGGTCCCTGAAGACTGGAAGAAGACCAAGGTTGTGTCCATCTTCAAGAAGGGGAGGAGAGAGGATCTAGGCAACTATGGGCCAATTAGCCTAACTTCTATCCCAGGGAAAATCCTGGAAAGATTCATCAAGGAGTCTATGTGGAATATGCTTGCAGAAGGTAGGATTCTGAACAACAGGCAGCATGGCTTAATCACAGGCAGGTCTTGTTTTACCAGTCTTATCTCCTTCTATGACAAGGTAACTTGCCACTTGGATAAGAGAGAGGAGGTCGACATTGTATACCTAGACTTCCAAAAGGCCTTTGATCTTGTATCCAATGATGTTCTCACGGGAAAACTGGAGGATTGTGGGCTTAACTGCTTGACAGTTAGGTGGGTAGAAAGCTGGCTGCAGGGTAGGACCCAGAGAGTTCTAATGAACAGATCTGTGTCGTCCCAGTGAAAAGTGGCCAGTGGTGTCCCTCAGGGGTCCGTGCTTGGTCTAGTACTTTTTAACATCTTTATCAATGATCTGGATGTGCAGGTGAAGAGCTCACTGGCCAAGTTTGCAGATGACACCAAGTTATGGGGGAGCGTGGTCACACCTGAAAATAGGCTGCAGATGAAGGTGGACCTAGACAGGCTGGCAAGTTGGGTGGATCAGAACCAGATGAAGCTCAACATTGAGAAGTATAAAGTGCTCCATCTGGGGATGAACAATTCCTAACATACTTACAGGCTTGGTGGTGGCAAACAAACTAGAACTGAAAGGGACCTAGGGGTAATAATAGACCATTGTATGAACATGAGCCATCAATACAATGCTGTAGCCAGCAGGGCAAACAATACTCTGGCATGCATCAACTGATGCATCTCAAGCAAAACCAAGGAAGTGATTCTTCCACTTCACTCAGCATTGGTGAGACCACAGCTGGAGTACTGCATCCAGTTCTGGGCACTGTATTTCAACAAGGATCTGGAAAAGCTTAAGAGAGTCCAGAGAAGAGCCACCCATATGATCAGAGACTTGCAAGGCTTATGAGAAAAGGCTGAGGGACTTGCATGGGCAACTGGTGCCGCCTTAGTTGGGGAGGCACATGCCTCCGCTCCTCCATGACCAGTCCCCCCATGGCTGATCTCACTCCCCAGGGGGAGGTCCCCCCATGACCAAACCCGCCGATCAGGAGGGAGTTGTCCCCCCCATGGCCCATCCTGCCGACCAGGGTGGGGGTCCCCCCCCCTTAGCCTATCTCAGTGTCTGGGGGGACCCTCGTGGCTGATCGCTGTGGCTGATCACTGCAGCCACTTCTGGGAATGTCCACGGCCAATTCTGGGAGAGGCTGCAGCAATCAGCTGGTGCTTGCACTGGCATTCCCACCTGCCCCCTCTGCCCATAGCCTAAGCAGCGAGTGTGGCTGGTCAGGGGATGAACCGGCACTCTCAGGGGGTGCGCGCGCACCCCCGTGCACCCACTATGCATCGCCACTGGGGACTTGGGTCTCTTCAGCCTAAAAAAGAGAAGGCCGAGGGGACTTGGTAACAGCTTATCACTATATCAGGGGAATACATCAAGGGCTCAGCGAACAACTGTTCACCAGAGCACCCTTGGGGAAAAACAGGAGTAATGGCCACAAACTCCTGGAAGATCATTTCAGGCTTAATGCTAGGAAAAACTTCTTCACAGTTAAGGTGTCCAGACTGTAGAATAAACTTCCTCCAGAGGTGGTGCACTCACCTACCCTGAAAATCTTCAAGAGGAGACTGGATGATCACCTTGCTGGGGTTACCTGACCCCAATTATCTTTCCTGCTTAGTACAGGGGGCTTGGACCCGATGATCTTGCGAGGTCCCTTCCAGCTCCTTACAATCTATAAATCTATGGATCTATGACTATATTTATTCTAGGAAACAAATTAATTTGGATATTGCTGACTTATAATCAACCTTTTAAGACTGAAAAACTTGTTAATGTTGCTTAGAACTGATTTACCTTTAAAAATTAAGTAGCAAAAGGAGCTATTACTAAACAGAATTTGCTAAGCAGCTGTTCAATGTTATTTTTAACATTTTTGTTTGAAACAAATTTCATGTTTAAAGTAACATTTTAAAAACTAGCAGGTAAACCAAAGCAGTATTTGGATGGCACTGAAAATATAAAATTTGTTTACCTTATACTATTAATTATTGTGAGCTGAAGAAACACTTCATTCTGTTAGTTGAATACATGCTTGTTGTAAAGTGCTCATATTAATCAGTTTGCATTTCCAGAGCAAAGGTATGCAGCCTATTTAGTCTTCTTGCCTCATGTTCAAACTAATATAGTTGGTGTATTTGATAGTAATATATGAAGGCATACAAATCATTTTAGATCACATGGGCCAATTAAATGAAAATACTACAGGCGTGTCGCAACTTACGCAGGGGTTAGGTTCCGAGGTCATCACGTAAGGCGAAAATTGTGCATAGTCAAATCACCAGCAATTTGACTAGTGGCGACTGCCTCTGCCTCCAAAACCTCCCACTGCTGCCATGGAGCCGTGCTTGGAGCTGTGTGGCCGGCAGCAGCAGTGCATCACAGGGTGGTGGGGGGGATGGCTGCATGCCGCTGGGCCACCACCATGCTGCCAAAACCTCCCGCCGCCGCCGCAAACTGCCGCAAACTGAAGCCCCGCCCCCCCTCCCACCCTGCATAAAGTTGAATTTGCGCAAGTTAAATGCGCATATGACACGACTGTACTGTATTTAGGATCCGATCTACTGAAGTGTAGCATTCTTCCTGGAAAGCATTTGTCATCCTTAACTCCCAATAATTTTCATAGCACCTTAGTGTTCCACACCACACCTTCTGTAGCTCTAAATAATTCAGTAAAGCATATCAAATTTATCTGTGTTTACTGATTGCATGACAGCTGTTGGGACAATAAGCAACAAATTGTTAACATCATATTTGACTGTGGAGGAAGGACAGTCTTATGGTTAAAGACAAAGATTGGGAGACTGGTAACTTTAGTTAAGTCATTCAGCTCTCTTATTCCACTCTCTAGCTCTAAAATGAGGATATTTATACAGCATGTGGTTACTTCACAGGAGTTATATGAGGTGTCTTTAATACCGATGAAAAAAAATTAAGATCTTGAGATGGAAGGGGATAGATAAGTTCAAAATGCTACATTGTCTGACAAAAATAATAGGTGTCCAGTTAATTAGCAGACAAAATACATTTACGGAGGTTTTTATTGTTTTAATAAATATTAGATAACATGAGCATAATATAATTAATAGCAGCATGTTTCCTTCTACTTTTAGTGAATGAAATACTACTAATAGTATATATTGATACATGATGTATCCATGAGCCCTTTTCTTTTTTCTTTCAGGTGAGGACTGTGATATTGACATAAATGACTGTGACAGCAACCCATGTCATCATGCTGGGACTTGTATAGACCAACCCAATGGTTATAATTGCCATTGTCCACGTGGCTGGGTTGGAGCAAATTGTGAAATACGTAAGTATTATAGAGACTGCTTTTATTCATTTTTAATATAATTTTAACATAAATGTAGTTGGTTGTCCTGAAGATTCCTAAAAATAATGCCAAAATAGTAGTAAAAGAAGCTGTAGGTCAAGGGTGTCAAACTCATCTCACTTTGCATGTCAGGTGAGTGGCACAGAGCCAGTCCACAGGCCAGATCAGGTCCATGGATCCCTTTTCCCACATGCCTAATCCAGCACATGTGGCACCCTCCCAGAGCAGTCCAGGACACAGGCTCAAGTGAGCTCTGCAGGTGATACAGCCCAGGACTGGCCCCAACAAACTCCTTGAGCACTGAGGACAGGGACCCTTCCCCAGTGAGCACTGCAGGCAGCACAAAGCTAATCCAGGGCAGCACTGGGGACCAGGTTATGGGGCTCCGTGGGCCAGATCTGGCCTCCAGGCTGTATGTTTAACACCCCTTTCATAGGTACTTCTTAAACAATAACTACAATATGTATAATGTAACAAAATGATTAAAGGTAAATCAACACAAAATGATGGTTTAAACTAAAATTTTAAAAAGTGGCCACTAATATTGGGCAATACTATTTCTGGGTGCCTAACTTTGAGATACCTTAGAGCACCCATAAGAGTAGCAGAAGTCAATATGAGCTGTAGATGCTCAGAACCTGGTCCAAAGTGTTTAAGTAGGTGGTTATTTTTGATAATTTGGCATATATATCCAGTGGTGACAAAATTTAATATGGCACTTATGAGTATGATTTAACTGAGTTAACATAAAGCTTATGCCTCTGATTTTCAGTGATTCCCATTTATTTTTGAGTACCTGTATCTCCAGTTGTACTTCTGCAGAGCATATTTTTATTGCAGTGGTGTCTTCCCTATGGTCTTTGACAGAAGTTTCTTCTCCTTTACTGGACAGTTTAATTACATATTTGAGTATTTTGTTTTCAGGTATTTTGGTGATAGGTCTCCTCAAAACACTAGATAGTTACATTTATTTGATAGTTACTAGATAGTTCATTTATTGAACAAGGGAAGGGATTCAGGCAAATTAGTTTCTGCATTAGTGGGAACATGACTGATTGTCCAGTTACCAGTATTCCAAAAAACAGATGGAGTTAACCAAGAAGTAGGTGCATAGTTAAGCACCTTATTTAGGCACCTCATTTGCATGATGAGGATACTATTAAGATGCCA